AAGTGATGTAGGAGGAAGAGAAAGGGAAGTTTGTCTAAATACAGGTTAAGACCTCAAGTTCAGATCTAAATCAAGGTTATTAGAAGAGCAAAATTGTCACCCAGCAGCCTTTTTCAAAGTGACCCAGAACCTCTGAGGGAGGAAGAATATATGAAGTATATATATAGCAGGATGGTGTGAAGAATTTGCAATATATCCTAAGAATAAAATAATTCAGATTCACTGAAAGGTTGACACTAGCTGGGCAGGTCTAATACAAGCAATATCATCTCGTAGGATTATTTGGGGTGAATCTGAACGTTAATCCTGATGAAGTAGAGAACACTTCTACCACTTATAAATAAAATTTCTCCCTCTCCTGGTTTGTGAAAGGCTCCAGGGAAGGGACAGGTAGCTGAGACAAAAGAGTAATAAAGGTGAATATCTGAAAGAGGTGTTGATGTGCCCCCTGCTCAAAAAGTTATTACTTGACCCAGACGTTATTAGATCATTAAAGGCCTTCTCCAATGTCTTCTTTGAGGGGAAGATTGCTGTTAAGAGGATCTTGGAGAAGCTAGATTATTTAAATCTGTTTGAGACTGCATTCAGGTATGATAATGGCATGAAGAATATTTAGATTACTCCTGTGACTATGACAAGAGGAACCCAGCCCTTCTGATCCTAATTGACTTCTTAGCCGCCTTTGATTGATGTTATATTTCTTTCCAGCCACTGAGGCTGAGAAACGTTAATGTGTTCTAGTGGTTCCAGTTACTGGTGCTAGTGGGGACAAGTCAAGCCCTAAGGCCCTCTTTTATGGGGTGCTAGATATTCTTACCCTTCCTGTCCACACATCTATATGAAATTGCTAAGTCATCTATAGGTATGGGGACAGCTGAGAGCAGTGACACTCCATTTTTGATTTTGGATAGAATCACACTATATAGTAACTATGAATCCTATTGGACTCATTGGTCCTGCTTGCCTCTAGGAAGGCCTTTGAAAATGCCATCTTTTCCAATTACCACCTTTTCTGGTCACAGGAGATTTACTTCCAGCAGCTCATATATTGGACATCTCTTGATGAGACTACTGCTACATGAAAATCGCCTTGAAAATACAGATGGCCATCATAACCCCTAGTGCAGTATGTTTTACCAAGTTGCATTTTACCATTTCCCTTTTCTGGATACGAGGGTGGTTTGTTCTCCGGGCTTATGGGCTGGTTCCAAATGTTTCATTACCAGGCTAGGTAAGATCTTCAGAGGATATTCTGGATATTTTTAAGCCACCCACTTGTTAGTAACTTGGTGAGTGATGGCCAGCTATATCAATCAACCAATCAATCTATAAATATAGTTTGTGTAGTTAAGAACATCTCCCAGTTCACCAAAGTAATCTCACAGAGAGTTGCACCAGTTACCACACGGATAGTTTCTACCTATCCAGTATGAACAAAAAGACACCACTTGAGTTTCACCCTTGAAGGTGGCATTTAGGTCAGTTACTAAGACTTAGTTGTTCTGGAAAGCCTTAGGGAGGCTACTAAAATGGTCCTTGCAACAAATAATCGGCTGTTACACATTCCTCAGGGTAAGGATGAAGAGGAGAAAGAGGAGGAGTCGGATTTATATGGCAAATAAAGTTAAATTTGGAAGGATGCTGAGCTACTGAATCGACTTTCATGCAGAGACTTTAGGACAAATACACTAACAATGCAACCTAATATCTGTCTAGTAAAAAATAAATTCCAATGAAATAAATTAGGTGTCCAGTGAATTATGTATAGGACTGCAGTTGAAATGCAGCACTAAGGAAAATGTATAAAAGCTGCTCCCCTGATTTGAAAAATCAATTATTTCAATGAAAAAACATTTATTGTACAAGTAATTTACAGTGGGTTTTGTACATAATTTGAGAAATTGAAAAGCAGTTTATATAAAATGAAAATGGTATACATTATTTACATATTATATATAAATGTTTTATCCTTTTCCTCCAATCTAAATTAATAAAACATGCAGTATAATGCATTAGGTAACATAGAGCTTAATGAACACATTAACTTTGCTCAGTATAGAGCATAAATATTCCCACTGACTACAGGACTCTTAAATGATCAAGTCAGTTTATATAGAAAAAATATCTTGTTCATAGTTGCATGTTTGCATCGGCAACTATAATATTTAAACCTTAATATTACTCTTTCCACTGAAATGGATCAAATACCTTTTGAGCAAAGGTGAAAAAAATATCTACAAAACTGTTTAAAAAAACAAAAGAAAACAACAAAATATTTCCTAAATAGTACACACTTCCTTTTATTATTCACTTTATAGCACTAAGAGAAGAAGCAAAAGAGATTAACTTAATTTCGTTCATTCCTTTAGTTGGAACAGATAATGGAAACACCTTACATTAAAATGTTAGTAATGACCAATCTCCATTTAAAGCTTTTTGTACACAACTTCTTCACATTAAAAAACAAAAATCACTTTTCTGAAGGAAAATGCATATTGCATCAGTGCATAAGGTACAGTATAACTTCACACACACACACACACACACAATGGAGCGGACTTCATTTAATACTTGGTCTTTGTGTATAAAAAATGGTAAAACTATTCCTATACAAATATCCTGCAGCCATAATGTTGATATATTAAAACTGAACTTGCAATTTGCCTTTGCATCAAAGATATTCCTCACTTATGAAGATCACGTAAAGCAAGAATACATCTAACAGACAGTGGGTTTGGGATTGGATTATCAGGTCCTTTGCAGAGATTTGTTCTTTGGACACAATTATGATTGTGCTGTAGGTTTTAAGGGATTTCTGGAAGGTCAATAGGACCAAAGCTTCTGAGGGAATGATGTTCCAAAGGGTAGGTCTCACAGCAGAGAAGCTTGCTCCCTAGGTCCTGCTGCCCTTGATGGGACAGGTATACAGAACCCAGCCACATGCCATATAGGGCTTTAAAGGTCAAAAACCTCTTGAATTGAACCCAGAAACAGACTGGCAGCTAATGCAACTTACAGAGAAGTGCAATATGTACAACATGCAAGTGCACATAACTGCCTACGACACTGTATTTTGCACCGTTTCAGATACTTCGGTGACCATGCCTTGAGAAACTGAGAGTGGAGCCTCCTGATCAAGGAACAGATGCAACCAGCACATAATACAAAGTTGCACAAAGGGTCTCCTAGCCATAACTGCCACATGCTCTTTGAGTAGGAATTGTGAATCCAGGAGGACCCAGTGCATCAAAGATGGTAAATCCCCAAATTTGTAAAACCCCAAAGCTGCTCAGTATTGTCAGAGTTCAGTTGATGTCTGTTGTTTCCCATCCAGACTCACAGACTCCAAGCATTGAGACAGAGTATCAACTTAGTTCATCAGGGGTGGAGATGTACAATTGGGTACACATTATGATGACAGATTACCTCACACAGCCACTTAATGTAGAGTTAAACAGGAGTAGAGAGAGTACCGTACATAATAGGGGTTGATGGCGGAACTCTCACTCCCATGCAATACCGTCAGGAACCAACCTTGTAGGACACAAGAGAATCAGCACAATACAGTGCTGCTTATTCCCATCCCATCGAACTAAGATTTTTATTTTTATTTATTTATCCAACAAGTAACATTGTACTATCCCATCCCACTCCCATGAGAGTCATCCATTTACTGAATCTTCCAGGTTAAAATGCAGATCATAAGATTTTCTTCACACCATCATATACTATAAAGAACCTGCAGTTGGGTAGAGAACCTTCCATTATCTGTGCTTTAAGAAACTGTACAAGGACTTGTGTGAACGTAAAGGCAGCAGAAATTATAGTATGCAAACAGCTGTCTAAGGTTATTATGAAACAACAATTTCTGAAGCTATTAAGATAATCTGTATCTCTCAAGAATAAGTTACAAGGTTTTCTTATCTTTTCCAGGAGCACATTTAAAATTATGAATGTGCAAATGCTCATAAACAAAATGGAAAATGTACCTACATTGATACAAAGAAAGGAACATTTCTGAGAAATAAATTAATAGTTCTGTAATGACTAAGCGAGTACTCAAGAACACCTTCAAAAAAATTAAAAAAAAAATAAATCCAGAGACATCTAAGCAAAATCTAATGTAGCCTTCTCATGGATAATTTTCTGATTTTTGACTTTCCATTTTTTTAACTGAAGATCTTAAGCTTTAAATGGCATTAATCAAAAGCAAAATATCACAAATCTGAACAGACATTTGTGTAAGCACTGAGGCCCTTCTCACATTTACTATAATTCTATGAGGTACTAATTTGAATTGTACATGAGGGAAATTCTTCAATTTGCTAGATCTTCAGTGTTTTCTACAATTTATCTATATTTTAATCTCAAAGTTTATAATAAAGGGAGAAGCCTTCCTACACTTTAATCCTATTTTTTCAGCTAATTCTATTAATTTCAATGAATTTTTTTTTTACCTGGGACCCTACAAAACACATTTAAAAAAAAAATACTGACCAACTTTTATTTTCTGTGGCTATATTTGCATCTGAAGTTCATGGTTCTATAGCTGAATTGTCATCTCTGATACTATTTTCTTAATCCAAAGCACCCACAATTAAAATTCAGGAGCAATCGCTAACTTTGCTTCTTTCCCCAAAAGTAGAAACGAAATTTGTATTAAGCTTTTGTAAGCTTAAACACAATTGTCTTGTTCTTTAAAAACTGGTCATGTAACAAAATAAAAAATTTAATCCAGCTATGGATTCATGAAAACCACATAATCCTCACCCTTGCAACACAGATTGAAAATAAATATGAGGCTTGGAGGCAGAAAATGGAGATAGAAAAAACCTTTACTGAATTGAACAAACTTGGTCCCACTGAATATTTTATGCAATGATGCAAGATTCTGATAACATGTACAAAATTAGTGTCTTAAAATGTTAATCTTAAACCTGTTGTGGGGAGAGGAAAGAGACATAGAGTCGCCTAAATGGATAATAAACTTCAACCATAACTAATTTTAAAAATCTGTTTAATTATACCAAAAGCTGATTGCTTGGTTTTACTATAGTACAACAAAAATATGCAAGCTTCAAGTAGAAATAAGTTTATCATACTGAAACAAAATATAGCAAAGTGCAAACTAAAGAGGAAACACTCCTGCTTTCCTCAAATTACTCAAGAAAAATATATTTAAAATGCTATATTACAAATAAATACAACAAAGACTAAACCATCTCTTTGGTCCATATGTTTATAAAACAAACCAACTTAACCTGTTAATTGAAGTAATATTAAAGAGAATGTCTAGAATGCCATTAGAGACTATTTCTTCAAACTTAAGCTATGTTATTTACTTAAAAAAGGAAGGCCTGGAAGAGTTTTATTTTGAACTGTATGAATTTTTCAATTGCTCTCCAACAGTTGTTAATAACTGTTTATGTTCAAATACTGGTACTGCGGAAATGTTACACTGCATTTTTTCTTAAGAAGTTGAAAAAATTGTCCAAAGACATTTTTGGAGAACAACATAGATAGTTCTTTCACTTTTTCAGCAGCTGGAAATATTATGGTAATACCATTCATACAAAAAAACATTTCATCCTGAACTACAGCACTCTAACATAAACTTACAAGGAATTCATACACACTCAACCTTTTCAGAAGATGAAAATTTGTCCTAGTATATAAGCATTTTCCTTATGTATCATTTCCTTATGTTTCATCTGAATATAAAAGAATATTGCTCTAAAACACACTTCCTTGGTTACTTCATTCCTGTTTTTAATATATAAATCCATTTTAAAAGCAATAAATAACTATCACTGAAGTCACTTTAAAATACAAGTTTGATGTATTCTGTTCAAAGGCATGGGAGGCCAGCGATGTCTTCACTAAATGGTATCTATTGTTCAAATGTATATTTAAATATCCATTACTAAACAAGAACAGTAAGAAGTTCTATTCACCATCCTTTTATACAAAAAAACCCAAACATAATCATATACAATGATTTATCTACAAAACACTTCATCAGTTTAATCTTACTAGGGGTTATCTATGATTGCCTACTGTTGTAAAGTAATTTTGCTTCTTTTTTTTCCCCAGTAGATCCATTTTTAGATGGCAATGTTACAGTAATATGTAACATATTCTGAGGACAATAAATATATTGCAGTATTTTAACAAAAAGTGCATTTCTACTATCATATGAATTATTCCCAGCCTAGTTTTAATACCAATAGAATTTGTTTTGTGAAAACTGTTGGTAGTTTCATCTGATGAGGCAATCACAAATATAAGAAGCATCTGAGTTTCCAGCATAACAATGTTTCTGCATATAGCCCTAAAATCTTTATAATTAGCAATTTACAAATACAATCTATATAACTGTCTTTAGTTCTGGGGCCTGAGAATGTTTGTCTTTAAAACCATTAGATTTGTACACAAACACTAAATATCAAACCAGTTTACATATAAACACAACAGCATTACATATATACCATGTTTTGGTGCTCAATAAAATATGGAAATTAAGATGCAGGATTCTAATGATAAATTTTTGAAGAAATAATCTTCTTCCAACTAAACCAATTCTTTAACAATCCTCATGGCTTTAATTGGGGTAATAGTATTCAATTGCGTTTTTTGTTGTCTTTTTAATAGGAACTTCCTTACCACATCCATTACAACATTGCCAAACAGTAATCCATCAATAGACAAGAACAGCAGAAAAATAGAAAAACTAAAAAATTAGTTCTAATATATACTCAAGGCACTACCATCCCCCCAAATCATTTTATAATACTGTCTATTTAGTAAATAAATAAATACATACATAAATAAATAAATGTACCTTGGTATTTAAGTTTAAATTAGCTGCAACAAAATATATTTTATTAAATTCCCAGTAGTAATGCTATTTCCACTGCCTTTTGACCTTGATTCAGAGCCCAGGATGAGCACAAAATTTATATTTGTGGCTACTGCAGAGAGAGCTCTGCTATCAATTGATGAAGTAGTTCCATACAGATAGATTCATTCTTGCTAGAACTGCCTACCATTACTATTTGAAGAATGACAAAAAGATAAACAATAAATTTCTTTTAAACTCTTTTAGACCAGGATAAACCTTGAAAATTAATATATCAATACATAGGAATATAAACTGAGATTTTTATCACAAAATTTAGAAAAGCTCTGGAGCAAAGAACTTTACTGTCAAATAATTATTGCTGTGGGTATGATTCTATTTTCATGACAATTTGTAGCTGTCTTTTTATCTTTTTTTAAAAGATGCATATATAGACACAATACCTATTTTAATCTGTTTTAAGGATCAATTCACACAGTACTTCCTTAATGGAGGAAAACACACACATACACAGACTACCACTGTCAATATATATCAGGATTGTTTGTTCCAATTTCTAGCTAGAAATTCCACTTTTTAAGGAAGGAGCATGAATGAATGATGAACCAGTTGGACAACAAAAGTACCTAAACCTCTATGGTAAAACTGTGTGCTTTTCAGCCACTGCCACTTACAGTCTCTTTCAAATGTTTTTTCAAACACCAGCACATGCAAAGGATATGAGTCAGGACAAAGTACAATTTAGTCATTTCTTCCTAATACTCATATTGGTCCATTAAGATACTTTCTGTTACTGATATTCATTTTATACATTTTATAATAAAGACAGCTGCAGTCACGCCACTATTGCTTTTGTTCAAGCACACAAACAGAACTATTCAAAGCTAAGCTGATAAAAGTCCCATATATTTGCTCCCAAGCTATCTAAAAATTGGGAAAATTCTATGAAGATTTCCTGAATATCTAGATCACAGTTGTCCCAAAGGTGCTTTTCAAAAGGGAACTGGATTTTCTTGGTTTTTTTCCCTTGAAAATGTTTTGCTTCTTTTGGATAAGAAATGTTTTCAAGGAAAAAAAAAAAAAGAACAAGAAAGCCCTGTTGTCTTTTGAAAAGCACCTTTGGGATAAAAATTGCAAAATTGAAAAGGAAATTAAACTGTCCTGTTCTTAAAATTATAACAGCTTAACAGAATAATTTTGTTCTGAATCACATACAAAACAGTTTTTTCTTTCTTTCCTTTCTCCGTATCTGTCTCAGTATAATCTGGTAAACATGAGTTTTTCAAAACTATTGGTTTCCACTGGTCTTAATGATATTCGTGAATCCTTAATTTTAGAGATCATTAAAACTGGCTTTGTAATGGATCATTTCATAAAAGACATTTCATTTTGTATTATTTCACCTATACAACTTTTCAAAATCTGTAGTGTGACTACAGGGTATACCATAAATTATAAGATATGAAATGTATAGAAATAAATAACTGAAACTGGCTTTAGTGAATACAGTGTATCTCATAAACCCCTTCATAAAATGCTCTCATTTTGAATCAACAGCATTCATATCCTTATTAGAGCTTTGCTTCAGCTACTGAATCTGCTCACATATAACATCAGTTCACAACTGTTTTGTTCCCAAGGCCATGCTAATGTTCTGAACTGAATGGGATTCAATTAATAATAAGCAAATACCTAGCTGCTATACCTGAATTTTTAAAACTATATCTGCAGCATTCAATTACTACACATCTAAATGGTCACATTATAAATCTTTTTTTAAAAAATCAATTTCACATTTGGCACATTTATTCATTCTTCAGAAATGCCCCTGTATTTTCTTTAATAACATCACATACAATGATCACAACACCAACTGTTTGACTGATTAGCAGCTTCACAAGGTGATTTATCTCAAGCTTCTCCTTAATGGATCACACCTTGCCTATGACAGAGGCACATTAGGTACAGTGCAGTAGGGTGTCATTTTTGGACTCTAGAGGAAAGCATTTTCCAAATGGATAGAACCTCTAGTTTGCAGTCCACATACCATGCATTTCCCTGGTAATTCCAATCCATCAGCTACTGAAGCCATTTCTGGAAAGCTTCACTGCAGACTGCTTCCTTTTATGCACACACTTTCATAAAAAAAGTAAAAGTGTAGCAAGAAGATTCAAAGTGTTGCAAGAATCCTTGAAAATGAAATAATTATTGTCAGTACAGTCTGCCCAACTCCAAACACCAGTGCTTCCATGGGAGCCATGCTTTTCCCAGCCACTCTGTAAATTCCAGCCACTGCTGCACCTGAAAGGGACAAGAAAGACAAAAGTACAATTATAATTAGAACCAAAGATTTTTATTCAAAAATTACCATATTGTCAATATGTAATGTTCCCTCCCCCCCTACACAATTTATTTTACAACTCTTATCACACAGTGGACAGCAAGTACAGTACAGTTCTATAATTTATTAAAATGTAAATGAACACTCTTCTACGCATATATGTCCATAGTATATTTAAGAAATAATCCAGCAAAGTTAAGCACTTCTTTCCCATTCATTTGGGGAGATATGTAAATATGTGTTCAGCTCCCCCATTCAGTGAGACTTAAAATTCCCAACCCATGTAAGAAACTAATAATTAAAAGCCTATGAAAGACCGATGATCAAATAATCTCAAGGTTTAGTTTCTGATTGTTGACTGCTGATGAAACAACCTAAAATAGAATTCAGTTCTGCAATGATACTAAGAATTCTTTATTTATATATAGTCCAGATCAATTTCCTTTGGACCTTGATCCACTGTCTAATTGTTTCAATTGTTTAAATCTTATCAAGCATTCTGCCTAGAAAACAGGAGCAAAGTAACCTTCCAACTGAATGCTCTTCCACTTACAGCTAATGTATATGCTTAGTTCAATCGGGCATGCATTGACCTCTACACTCTCTCTCCTTTTGTAGTGAATTGGAAGAGTGAAATTCAATTTCCTATTTCAACTGAGCAGAAAATAAACTTTAAATCAAGGAAGAATCACAAAATCAACTTTAGACCGTAGTTTAATATACTGGATTGGTTCAAAGCTGGTAATCATACTATAGGTAGTCTTTGATTTATGAAAGTTCATTTAATAATGGTTCAAACTTACAACAGCCTCAGAAAAAATGATTTATAACCTCTCCTCCAAGTTACATTTGATTCACCACCCCCATGGTCATATGATCTAATTTGGGCACTTGGCAACCACCTCAGATTTACGATCAGTTGCAGCCTCCTGCAGTCATGATTGGAATCTGCAACCTTCCCAGTTAGTTTCTGACAAGCAACATCAACTGGAGAAGTTGGATTTGCTTAACAACCACATGACTTGCTTAATAATGATGTGATTCACTTAATGATTGTTATAAAAATGGTCATAAAATCAGGTCCAGTCACATAATGATTCATTTAACAACTGCATTTCTAAGCAACCAAAATTCTGGTCCCAACTGTAGTTGTAAATTGAGGATTATCTGTATCCTACTTGAAGTAAACTGAATTCCCCCCCCCCGAAAACTGAATATTTTATTGATTTTTTTCTAGAAGAAATAGAATCATTCTAGTTATTATTCAATTATCTGAAAAACAGTTTGATGTTTAATATAAATTTCCTTATAGAAAATTTTCATAAATTATTCTATTATTAGCATAAGATTAATCTACCATCTTTAATCATAATATGTGGGTCCTCATAAGATATTGTAGATCTGACAATCTTTATATTAAAGATTCTACTCCGTATGTGTGTGTATGTGTGTGTGTGTGTGTACATAATTATTTAATCAAATCAAATGTGGTAGATAAGGACACTTCATTTTTATCACTCTAATTTATGTAAGAGAACCATACAAATCAAATATAAAAATAATTAGAATAAATCTTGGTTAATGAAATGACTCCTAGTTAAAACAAACTAAATGCATCATTCTTCTGTATTGCAAGAAGACAATAATGGTTGCATATCAAGTGCAAGTTTTATTGATAACTTAATTTATTAAACCAAAATATCACAACCCCAAATCAGTAGAAGACAAAAATTCTGAAAGCAAAAAGACTGGACATTAATTGCTTGCTCAAAGTTGTGTTATAAAGTTTTTTTTGTATTTCTGTGGTTATCTCAAAGAATGTATCAAAATCTATGCAGAAATTTCTTTAGACGTAGGGAAAACATAACACTAAATAAATCGTAACTAAATCATAATGAAAGAACCCTATCATCTACAGTTAACAAAGCAAATTCTACTGTACAAAATGATTACAAAGGCATTAGATATAGATTGTTGCTCCTAACTAATTTATGAAAAATTCTATAGGGAATATAAATCTACCACACAGGTACACAAAAAAATATCATACGTTTTTATATAGGAGTCCAAGCCTTGCTTTCCCCCCAAAAAGACTGTAAAAAAATTCATGAGATCCCAATTGTTTTATATGGGGTGATTGCACATCTCCTGAAATCACTAAGCACTAGCTTGACAACTCCAAGCAATGCTCCTTTTCATACCACATTAGTAAATCATTTAGGAATCAAGAAGTCATGGAAAGAAGCTAATGATGCAGCTGTTGTCTAACTTGACCCAGGAGAGAACCACTCTATAGTATCTTCCACATTAAGTAATTATACTTTTTGGCTTTTGGGGCCAGAGGGGTTAATTTTTATATATATTATACCATATTTTTACAAGGTGAAAATGAAATTCATATTAAACTTTTTTTCCTGGGTAGCATGTTTTAATAAGCACTTGAGATCTAATATTTGGAGACAATTCAATGACATAGTATATTTATAAACAAATATAAATCTATACTCATAATTTGTGTGAATTGAGATAATCATAATTTGCTATGATAAGCAAAATAGTGCACCTATTCTATAAAGGATCAGACAATATTTTTTTCTTTTGAGAAGAATTATTAGGTATAACTATTTCAGTAGCTATCTCTTAAAGTACTTTAGATTGTAACAAAATCTTGATTAGAATCTAAAAGCAACAGATATTTTTAAAATTTTAAAAACAAATGGATAAAGTCTCATTGTCAATTTATTAAACGGTTCTTTAGAACCTTCATTATCTTAAATACAATAAGAAACATGCATTAACATATAAAAGTGCCAGGCTTTAGTTGCTATTCACTATTTGTTGCACTGCACTTAATATAGTTTAGGTACATTATTTAAAATGGGCATTCACCTTTCAAATAATTTTTGATTTATTCTAAGAATCAATTTTAAACAGTAATTGTGAACCCCCTCTCCATACCACTTTATTTAGATACCTAAAGCTCCACTGCAATATTGCATTAATATGGACCAACAATTAATGCAAATTTGTTCTGATGGCAACTGAAAACTTACTATACAATGTGAAGATTATGCTATTATTATTTATCCAGAATTTCACTATATCACAATAGATCTTTCAATGCTTTACAAAGCGTCATAATTTCGCATCACTTATTGCCATAGTTGCACTAGACATTTTTTTATAAGGGAAAGTTAAAACAATAGCTATTGCTATTTTCACCAAAGCTAGAATGGCAATATGAAGGTAATAAAATCCTCTTCAATACAGAACCCTTTTTTTAAAGGTCTAGACTTTTATTATCAGTTTGAATCATGGAAATAGGTACGCCTATTTTAGGCTTCAAAATGCAGGGTTTTAGAAACTGTACTAGGATAAAAGGATAGGTTATGGAACAGACGTGGCACACAAATGATCCAAGTACATTATCAGAAATTCACAAAACATGTATATAAAGCCAGTATGTAACTTGAGAATAAGAACTGTGGTTATATTGTTTATCAGATAATGGCACTGGAAGAGAATTATACCTAGGATATTATTATATTATAAAAAATATAATAGCTACAACCTTATGCGTGATTTTTTTTTCTTTCAGAGAATGAATAGCAATCCAATATAAAATCTGAAAAATTATGAGCAGAAGCAATATATGAACATTTATTACAATTGCTAATAATAATCTTCAAAAAGAACCATGATTGTATTTTAACATGTAAGACTTACTGGTTATCATAGCTCCAGTTACAGAACCCAGAAATCCAATGCTGACCACAATGACAGAGATTACTCTCCCTTGCCTATGCCTTTGCAGCATGACAAACATTAACACTCCTGCAGCACCGTGGACAAAGAGAGAAGAGAAGAGAGCCCATAGGAAAACCCAGTACCACATTTCTGGAAAAAAGTAATCAAACAGCAGGTTAATATTTCTTATTTCTTTCTGATTAAAACAAATATATATGTATATATAAAGTATGTGGAAAATGATAGAGATATAAATGCATGCACAGAAGTAACTCTCACAAGTTAATTTTATTATCTTGTTCACTACCCATTTTTTAAAATATATTATGTATACCTCAATGTTTTTCCTTATTTTTTTTTCTTTTCCTACACACTACCAAGTGAAGTCTTTTTGTTAGTGAGGAATGTACGGATGGCATAAAGAAGTAAATATTAAATAAATATAAGTCAATATAATTAAATAAATATAAGGCAATATGTCAAATACATAGAAATAATCCTCACATACCAATTCATTTTATTATTCTGTCCTCCACCCATTTTCAAAAGGACTGTGCATACTTCTGTGTTAGATTTTTTTTTTTTTTGGCTTCCTTTTCTGTGAGCTACCAAGAAAACTCTTTTTGGTAATAGGTTGCAAAACAATTATATGAAGAATTAAATATTAAAACAAAGAAAGGAAATTTTAAAATGATCACTTCACAATTATGCTAATGTGTTTATGTTTGGTGGATATGTTTGTATGTATGTGGGTATGTGTGTGTGTGTATGCATACAAATATCTCTCATACATACTCACAAACATTATTCATAAAATATTCTGAGAGCTAAAATAAGGACGTAATTTAAGGGAACCAACATACAGAATACTAATTCTTAAGAAATAATAGTGAAAGTAAAGTACTGAAGGTATTTACTTTGCTTAAATGGGCAATATGCAAAATGATGGGTTTTTCTTTGATGAAGCAAATAATATTTTAGTTACCAATACACTGCTTCTGAATGCTTATAGACTGAGGTTTTTTTATTATTTGAGGACTGAATGTCAGCTACATAGGACTGATATATGTGAAATAACAATATTAATTTTTTAAATTGATCAATGAATGCTTTATGTTATATTAAAATTCTGTTTATTTGGAGATGTTAAATACTCAAGTACATAAAACAAATCTTTAAATTCATGGAATTAACTCAGTATGCAGTTGTAGGACTATTCAAAATATAATATTTAAAACCATAGAATTTCAACACACATACATACTAGTTACAGTATAGTGCTTTAATAAAATATACTTATACCTTAATTTCCAAAAACAGTTGTTTTACAGTGCAGTACAGTATTAAATACCACTTACCACTTACTGTTTTAATTGTTCATAATTTGAAAATATTCCTTCATTTAAAGAGGCATATATTGAACCATATAAAATCTACGTAATTAAACCAGAATCCAATAGGAATATAATAGTTCTCAACTTATGACAGTTTGACCATTCAAAGGTTTGATGGACATTACAAAAGCTATTTATGATCCATCGTCAAAATTGTAATTGCCCACCCCTGGTTGTTATGTGATCACATTTTAGGCACTTGACAACTGGCTTGCATTTCTGACCAGTTGCAACATTCCAAGGTCACTTGCCACAATTTGTGACATTTTTCACTGTTTTCCAGTGGCAAATGGAACAAAGATGCCAATTGGATATGCTGGCTTTAATGACTTTGTGGTTCACTTAACAATAAGTGATTTGCTTAATGACTGTGGTGACTCATTTTATGACCATCATAAAAACAACTCTGGTTACTTGGTGAGATTGTAAAAATGAGCCTGGACATCATGCAATCTTTGGTGCTTTGTGGGATTGCACTACCCCAGATAGACCCAATGTGCAACCTGGGGATCCTCTTAAGAGTCTGCTCCATGAGCGACATTTGTTGCCAGTTAGCTTGCAAGTCTAATTCAAGATGCTGGTTTAATCTTTTAAAGCACTTCATGGCATCGGACATGCTATCTGAGGGTCTGTCCCATTCGATCTTGCAGAGAAAGTATGCTGATGGTATTATTGCCTAGGGATCTACATCTGGTGGATCCCAAGAAACACCCCTTCACTGCTGTGGCACCCACCTTATGGAACATCCTTCTTCTGAAATTAGATTGCCCCCATGATTTTTCATAAGGCCTTCAAGATCTGGTTACAGTATTATTAAACTAATTTATATAACCACTGATCTCACAACAGTGACTCTGGGTGGCTTACAAAAAGGCTAAAAAGAGTTAATAAATATATTAAAAAGTATAGAAACCAAAATAAAATAAAGAATAATAGATGAAGGGATGTGAAAAGTAGCAGGGTCACTTCACTAGTTCACCTGTTCCCCTGGGATCCCCAGGCCTGTTGGCATAAACAGTTCTTGAGGGACAACAATAATGTCAACCACATCTCAGCAGGAAGAAGATTCCACAGTACAAAAGGCCACTGCTTAAAATCCATTAAATATAGCTCTCTAGGCAACAGAATCTGTTAACATGCCCCCCCCCCGTGCTGGATCCAGTTGAATAAGCAGATGGAAGAGTACCAACCTCTGTGGTACCCCGACACAGGGTGGAATTTCTTTTCCTCAGTCATTGCTTACTGGAACTGACCTGAGAAAGGAGGTGAACCAGCACAAGATTGTGCCATGCTACCCACCCCAATCCTCTGAGTCAGTCCAGAAGGTTACCATGACTGATGGTATTGAAAGCTATCAAGAGGTCAAGTAATGAAAGGATGACACACAGCTACTATCCTGCCCACATCAGAGACCATCCAAAAGTGTAACCAATGCCATTTCCATACCATATTCAAATATGAATCTGACTGAAAAGGATCCAGATAATCTGCTTCATCCAAGTCCTCTGAAGCCGCTACACAACCACTTTTTCAATCATTTTCCCTAAAAAGGGAAAGCTGGATACTGGCTCATCAGGATGAAGAACTTTCTGTTCAACCAGGAATTAAAACTAATTAATGCAGCCTGTGGTTGGGAGACCCTGCAAGTTTTGTTCTACCATATTTCATGTTATTTAGTTTTATTTTATACTGTTCTATTTTTAATCAAATTGTTTTTGCTGATCGTAAGCCAGAGAATTTATGAGACACATACTAATACGTAAATAGAATAAAATGCTATATTAGTGGGCATTATTTATTTTGAGAAGTATTAGAACTAAATATTAAATTTAGATTTTTAGCAAATGGATTTGTTTTGGTATGAGAACTAGGGGACTTTTTAAATCTCAGTCATGCAGTAAATTAGTAGTTTTCATCAATAGTCAGTATTGGTAATCTTCAGGTTCCATGTGTTTAATGGTATTTCCATTCATTAGCTGGTAATCCATCTTCTATACTTATCTTTATTAAGTGCCAAACCAGCATATTTGTTTAGGCCAACTTTTACTCCTGTGTTTCACTCTATGCATCTGATAATGTAAACTGCAGCTTACAAAAGTTTATGACTTTTAATAAAATGTATTAGTCAGAAAAGTTGCTACCAAACTCCTCCTGATTTTTGGCCACCATAAGTTAACACAACTTTCCTCCTACAATATCTAGGAGCAGCGATTTTAATGCTTTTTTTAAAAAATCTATAGAAGTCTCTCTTTTTTTTGTAACTGAAAGATCGTTTCATCAGTTAGTAGCTGGTATCTTGTGCTACATGGTTTTTTTGAAACCTCTTTTGTTGACATTGAAGTCAAATAAACAAAATAGTCCTTTAAACACTCCTTTAATTTTTGAACATTCTTCTCTTGTCTAAACAAATTTTCATTAACTCTCCAGGATCTTCTTTCCTCTTTCTCTTGAATCAGCTCCATCCAAACTGGACTATGATCCGTCAGTGATCTAGGAAAAATCTTAACATTCTTTACTTTATTATACAAGTCCGTGGTAATCAAGAAAAAGTCAATGCAGGTAAAGCATTTATGCGCGGTGTTTTGATAAAAATGAATAATTTTTATAAGCGAAATCAGATTCAGAAACGTAGAGAACTTGAAGATGAAATTAAATTAAAAGAAAGGGCTTTGATTCTAAATCCTTCTGATGAAAGTACTAAAGAATCTGTAAAGTTATTAAGGTCACAATTTAATATGTTGATAGCAGATCAAGCTGCTTTATTATTTATGAAACAAAATACATTTTGTACTAATAAGCCGGGGAGATGGTTGGCTTATCAATTAAGAAAGAAACAGAGACAGAGAATAATAGAGAAAATAAATTACAAGGGTAAACTAGTTTCTCAGAAGGAATTAATTAAAAAATCTTTTTTGGATTATTATCAAAACTTATATAAATCTACTAATGTACAATTGTTAGATATAAATAAATATTTAGCTGAGGCAAGTTTTCCTAAATTGACTGAGGATCAGAAATATGAAATTAATGGCAGGAGGAAATTGCCTCAGCAATTCAACAATTGAAATTAGGGAAAGCACCGGGTACGCTGTTTATTATAAAGCTTTAATGGAGGAGATGATCCAACCATTAAATGGGTATCTTACTTTAGAGATTCCTCCTTCATGGCGTAGTGCCTTTATATCATTGATTCCAAAGGAGGATCAAGATCTTACTTTACCAAAAAATTATAGGCCTATATCTCTTTTAAACGTGGATTATAAGATATTTGTAAAAATTTTGGTAAATAGGCTTATGAGGGTGGTGCATCATCTTGTTGGGGGGACAATACTCTAGATTCTTTATATTTTTGAGTTTTAATCATTAAATCATTTTTATTGCTCTCACTACATCTTCCTTTTGTTTGTTCATCAAATTCTTTCCATGAAATGTTATTCTGCTTTTACATTGTGTTCTTGATTACTTTTCCAATATTCAACAAATTCTTTATCAGAATTTGTTATATACAAAAGTGTTTTATTCAAACTTATTTGTTTTTTACTGCTTATTGGGGACAACACATCCAGAAGAATGGGACTAGCATAGACTACTTAGAAATTAAAAAAAAAATTCAGTATGAAATTGATTAGGGTGTCTTGTCCCTATTCTGTTTAGCGGGTAAGCCAGCAATGAGATTCAGTCTTTAATCAACTACTTTAGGTCGACAGAGCTGAGCTTGTTATATTTGTGGTTAGCAGTTTTTTGGAACCAGGTCAA